TCCCTCCTCCAAAAATGGACTTGAGAGCATTTGGGGGACTGAAGCTCAGCCTATTTAGATCTGTGAGTGTGTGTGTGTGTGTGTGCGTCTGCAAGTCAGTGTTGACTCCTGGTGACTGCCTGGATGACCCCCTGCAGCATTCTTGGCAAGGTTTTGGAAAGTGGCTTGCCGTGGCCGCCGCCTTCTGGGCTGAGAGAGGGACCGGCCCAAAGTCATCCAGCTGGCTAGAATTCTGGATGGGAACCGAGGCTCCTAGTTTCTCACCTGGTGCCCTTAGCCACTGCCCCAGACCGACTCTCAGGATGAGGTCGGGCTCCCCGGAAGAGTTCTGTAATGCTGAAATTGCAGGGGAACCGGACAGGTCCGAGGGCTGAGCAGCTGTGCAGGAATGCAGATTTTAAAAGAAAGCGTCTGTAATAATTCGTAGCTATACAGATGTTAAAGATGTTTGTTAACAATATAACCTTTTCTTCTCCAAAGTCGTCGTGTCTGTTTACTGATAACCTTATAATCAAAGAAGAGAAAGTGGAGAAGAATGGTGCGTAGCTTTGGAATGCTCCTTTGCAATTTGATGCAGTTACACATTTACTTAAATCAGTATTGCCACACAGGTAGTCCTCGGTTAACATCAGCAGTTGGGACCAGAATTGCCATTGCTAAGCGATGCAGTCGTGAAGTGCAATGTCACGTGACCATGCCACTTAGAAATGGCCATTCTGGCACTCCTGGTTGCCATAATTAAGCGAGGACTCACGTGACCATGACTTCCAACTTCCTGCCGTCTTCTCCATTGACTTTGCTAGCGGGAAGCTGACAGGGGACTTCGGAAATCACAATCACGTGACTGTAGGGATGCTGCAACAGCCAAAACTCTAAGGACCGTCATAAATTTGAACAGTTGCTGAACGAATGGTTGTTAAGCGAGGACCACCTGTACTTTTAAATGTAGTCGTCAAGGTAGCCTGAGAAAGATTGGGCTGTGGTGGCAAGAAGAGCATGAGAATAAGGAGCTTCTAGGGACATCATGTGCTACATGGGGAGCCAGATGTACTATCAGGAAAACCTCTGGTGCTGGTTGCATCCAACTGCATGACTCATCCGTTTGTCTTAAGTGGAACGGAGTGCCTAAAGGAAGCTACAATACCCCAAGTAGGAGTCTGATGATAACAGCATCTCCGAAGGCTGGAGTCACATTCAGTAAATGGCTCTTATTGCTGTGGGATCGCACAAGATTGCCTCTCTGGGAATATTCAGTTTTACATTCCAAGGAATGGGGTTCGCAGAGCTGGGCTGCCTCAATAATATTGTCACTTGTACATTTTTACTGCCCTTTTCGATGGCCCATCTTGGCATTTTTGACTTCGCTGCATCCCCTGGGGCCTGAGGAGAATCTTAGAACAGCATGGCTGTCCTTTAGATCCATGTTACTTAACATCAGCAACTTTAAGACACGTGGACTCCAACTCCCAGGATTCCCCAGTCAGCATGGGAATTCTGGGAGTTGAAGCCCACACAACTTAACGTTGCTGTGATTGAGAAACACTGCTTTAGATTACAAGGGTGCAATTCTCCTCCTCCTTCCTCCTCTTGCCCTGAATGGTTTCCTAGGAAGACATTTTTATTCCTGGGGGGGGGGCTTCAGAAAAGCCCCTTCTCTTTCTCCTTACGATGCATTTGCCCAGTTGCTCTCATACCCACCCCCGCCCCCTCACGCCTTTCGTGCTTTGCAAAGGACAGAATGAGGACTCCAGAAGCAGCCAGAGCGTCATTTCTTCCCCCAGGAATGGCCCTCCCAGCCCAGGGGTCTGACCTCAACGCCTGCCTAGCCCCACTTCTCTTCTCCTTGGTGGGGGAGAGCAGGGAGCTGAGGCTTTATCTGGGAATAGAGCTGAAGAGGGAAGAAGATAGCCGTGGGCATAGCCAAGGGGAGCTGCAGTCACACCTGGGAGAAGGAGCAACCCAGCTCAGAAGTGTCCGAATCTTGGCTCAGGGGACCCTGATGTGCACGGCCCTGCGCCAGCTTCGTCCATTGGGCTGGGCACAAATGGTCCTCTGCTCTGCTCTGCTCTGCTCTGCTCTGCTCTGCTCTGCTCTGCTCTGCTCTCTCTCGAGTTCAGAGGAATATGCAGGGCTGCTTGTCTGAGTTGTGAGGAGACAATATTGTCATCAGGGCCAAGAACTGCAGCAGAACAGCCTGTTCTGGGGATGACAGATGAACCACAACTGGCTTAGAAGCGGCCCGGGAAGCGTACTGAATCACGAAAACAAGGCAGGGACGACCTCCTGGCTTAAAGGAAGAAGGAATCCAGGGCCCAGGCGAAGGGGGGTGCCCCCTTGAGGTTCACCCTGGCCCTGGCTGCTCCCCCTACTGAGAAATTAAAGGTCTCAGCCTGAGCAGCCTCCCGCCTAGGCCACCCACACAGGACAAGCCTTTGCTCCTCAAGGGGTTTTGCTTTTCTGATCTCACCTTGTGGGTTTGTCCACGAGGGCACTGCAGCTCGCGGCACTGCCCCATGGTGACCCTTTTACCCCACCCGGACCCCGTCAGCCTCCTTCCCTTGCGCTGGCCGGTTACTGGCACTGCGCACGTGTGCACCCCTGCCCCTTCCCCTGCCGAGCCGCTGTGCAGGGAACCGTTGACGGGCCCCTCGTGGACAGGGACCAACAGCGGCTTCCTCCTGCGCACTGATCCAGGTGAAACGCCAGGACACTCTTCCCAAAAGGTCCCCCGGAGCAGCAGCCGAGCCGGGAGTGGGTCATCTCAGCATGGGAAGGTCTTTGCGAGCCCCGTGGTCCTGGGGGATCCCACTTCTAAATTGCCCTCGCATTTGGGTTGACACGGAAGCCTCTTTTGTGCGCACTAAGGGCCCCAGCAGCCCTTTCCCAAAGCTCAGTGGCCAAGGATGCAGTGCAAGAGCGCTGGGTCTGCGGAGACCGGCCAGAGAGGGGGGCCCAGGAGCCCCGCAGGTCTCCCCTCCTGCCCTTCGACGTACACAGGCCCTCAGGCAAAACTGGGGGGATGACCCCCCGTGTCCCCCGCTAGTCAATCCCACCGGAGGATCTTGGCGAGGCATCCAGTCTCACAACCCTTCTAATCAGTCCGGCTGCAGCAGCCAGAGGCCCGCTCTTTCCGGCTCCTATCAGCACGCGTCTTCCTCCAGCATTGTCAGAAGCCAGTTTTTGAGGGAAAACAGCCTCGCAAAGGAATGCGCTTTCTATTTCCTGTCAGGGAGGCAGGCGACACTTTGGTGAGACGCAACACCCACGAACAGCCGAACGAAGTGACTCCCTGGTTGTTTAGCTTCCCCAGCCGTGAGTGTGAGATGAAATTGTCCATCTGCAGTGCAGAAATGCTCCCTGCGGCGGACGTCCAGCCCGTCTGGCAAATGACTTTTAGAGTGGGCTAAAATAATTGACAAGCGGTCAGTCTCCTTCCCTCCCCAGAGGGTCAATGGGAAAAGATTCACATTAGATTGTTTCCTGAGATCAAAAGGCATGACAAGTCCATCTTCTTACCCTTGTTTCCTCCTCCTCCTCCTCCTCCTCCTCCTCCTCCTCCTCC